CTGGAGAACATGTTACTGACAGCTGTACCGTGGAACCTCAGGTGACTGCAGAACCCGGTTCTGACAGCTGCACGCTCCTCTTCCTCTGCTGCGTTCTGATGTTCGATGGTAAAAACTAACGATGACACTTTATTGTTAATAAATATCAGAACCTGTTAATAAATATTGGAACAGTCTCATGTTTCTACAATAATCGGTTTTATTAAAGAATCCATCAGACTGAAATGTTTCTAATAAAATATTGAACTTCTCCAGTCTCCTATCAAAGCAATATTTGAGTTCTGGTTCTGATGGGGTCCACTATGATCTGTGTTTAAAAGGATCCGCTCACAGCTGGAAACCTGAACTAAGGTTAGAACACTGAACTAGCCAGAAACCCAAAGGACAGCCGGTTCTTGATACGAACCCAAAGGACACCCGGTTCTTGATACGATCCCAAAGGACACCCGGTTCTTGTTTTAACCCCAAGGACACCCGGTTCTTGATATGAACCCAAAGGACAGCCGGTTCTTGACACGAACCCAAAGGACAGCCGGTTCTTGACATGATCCCAAAGGACACCCGGTTCTTGATATGAACCCAAAGGACAGCCGGTTATGGGTCTGAAGTGTCTTCTTGGGGTTCTGAAACAGAAAGATGTCAGAACATTAGACGGATCTCCCCGGCCCGGTTGTTGGTGTCAGTGATCAGTAACAGGATGGGTTATTGAGGACCAGGTGAAGGTGTTAATCCAGTTAGTAGTTCTGGTTCTCAGGTCCTTGTTAGGCTCCAGTCCAACCACTCGGTGTTAGAGTCCACTGGTCAGATCAGCAGAGTTCTGTTGGTACTAACGATTGACCCGGTGCACGTTGAGCACAGCGTACGCTCTCTTCCTGGCCTCATGGATGTATGTGTGCATGAACTCCCGTCCAAACAGCTCCCTGTCCTCCTCGTCCTCTCCGTCCTCAGCCAGAGTCTTCTTCAGAGGAAGACTCACATCCAGAGTCAGAGGATTGTCTCGAAAATTCACAAACCTGCACCAAAGAAAGGACATGTCTTCATGTGTCTCGGACCTGAAACATTCACAGACCTGCAGTCCTAGTAGAAGACGGTCTGTCCTCGTTCAGTTCCTGAGATATGAACCAGTTTAGAACCTGGTAAGACCAGATCAGTTTTATCGTATCCCAATACTGAAAACCCTGGAACTGAAACTGCATGGACTTTACTTTTACCAGGACTAAATGTTGGACAGACTGACCTGAGATTGGACATGTCCTCCATCAGTGACGGGATGTCCCTCAGCCTGTTGCTGCTGAGGACCAGCGTGTCCAGGTTCTTCATCCTGCTGATGTTCTCGGGAAGCCTCTCCAGCTGGTTCCTCTGCAGCCACAGCGTGTGCACGTTCTCCATCCTGAGGACACATGTCTCACTGCTGACTGGCTGCTGACAAAGAGGGGCGGAGCTCAGGGCGGAGCTTTACCTATGGATGTCTTCAGGTAAGTCCTGCAGGCAGTTCCCACCCATGTCGAGCCACTCAAGCACCGGCAGCGAGACCACGCAGTCCGGAAGAGAGCTGAAGTAGTTCATGGACAGGTCTAGGTGTTGGAGCTTCATCAGGTTCCTCAGCTGGAGTTCAGAGACAAACAGACCTCAGACCAGAACTGAGTCTACAGGTCCAGGTTACTCAGAACCTCAGACCAGAGCTGGGTCTACAGGTCCAGATCTACAGTAATCACAAGAGTGTTCACCTGCATTTAAACTTGAACAAGTCCCACCTGAGTCCAGCAGGTCTGGGTGTTTGTGGCTGTGGTCTTTGGGTCTGCCTTACAGTCTCATTTAGAGGCTGCTTTAGATCTTCAGATCCCACCTGAACCAGGTTTAGGTCTTGTTCTGACACCTGATCTAGAATCTGTTATTTTGGTCCCTGTTCTGAGCTGATCTGGACCTTCAGGTTTGAGATTTTAAACTAATTCAGGTTTATGGGACCGATACCTGGTCTGGGAGCTCTTTCAGGTCCCGGTTCATGGCCAGGTCCAGTCTCTCCAGACTCTCACATCCACACAGCTCTTCAGGAACAAACTGGATTCTGTTGTAGCTCAGCAGAAGTTCTCTGAGCTGGGTCAGTTTCCCTGAGACCAGAACCAGGACACAAGAAGTCTCGCACACCAGGACTAAACAAAGATTAACAACTGGATCTTACTGGGCATCTGGATCAACTGAAAATCTGAACCAGACAGAGCTGGATTTTAGAAGTTGGGTCAAACTTACCGATCTGTCTTGGCATCTCAGCAATGAAGTTACGTGACAAATCCAGGACTAAAAGATTCTGGAAGCTGGAGATGAAATGTGGGATCTTCAGCAGGCCGGTTCTGTGGATCTGCCATTCCTGAACCTGGCTGAGCTGGACCAGGCATCCTGGAAAAGACTGAGAACATGAGAAAGAGCCTGTCAGTCAGTGGTGCTGGGTCACGATACCAGTCCACTTTCTGAGAGAGGACGTTACCTTCCACTCTTCGTGTTCGATTCGAAGGACAAGTCGTCCGTCCTCAATCTGCAGCTTCTCCTTCAGCCGAGCCAGAACAGCCCGGTCCTCCCAGACACACACGCTGAGTCTGAACCCAAAAGACGAGTTAGAACCGTCCTGTCTGCATCCTGCGCTGTTGGGTTTTCACATACACTGAGACTGCCTCAAGTGTGCTTCCAGACAAAAAACAGTTTGACAGGAACATCAGAGCTAAATGTTTCAATCTGAGAGACGCTTCAACAGGAACTCCTCAAGTCCTTCTGTTCAGGCTAACCCACTGAAGTCCTCCACTCATGGACTCAATCACATGACGTTAGACCAACTTCAATGTATCTGGAGCAATGAACGACTTTTGGCTCTTTCCCACTGCCTTAACTCATCGGTTCTGCCCCACACCGCACCAGTTAAGGGCCTGCCCACTGCCAGTACCGCCCCACTCAGCCTGGTTTATGGGACCACCTTGTTGGTGGTTCCAAGCGAGCTGCTTCGAGGTGACGATTTTGACGTAAGCAGACGGCAGCCATTGACTGGCCAGCGGAGCTATGTCACTGGATAACCCACCCAAAAAAACTGCAAACTACATCTGGACCTCCACTTCCTCATCGTGTTGACGGACGGGCTACAAGAATTTAACACATTTATAGAGAGATATAGGAGATGATGGCAGCAAGGCTACAAAGGGACTTATAGCAGTGCCGAGATTAGCTAAAGAAATTCAAGTCTGGTTATATAGTAGGACGATTAAGGACCACAATGGGCGGAGTGGCTTGAACACAATGACCTGTTATGATCCCGCCCACTTTGCACTGATGGTCCCTCCCACAGAGCGAGGAAACAAGTCACAGTGGCAAAGCACCTCCACCTGAGAAGAACCAAGAAGATTTAAGTCGAGTCGCACTTATCAATGACGAAGAGGTTTTAGTGTATGTATGTATACATGTGTATAAATGTGTGTTTATATTCTGGTGTGGATCCTCATAAAAACACACAAAACATCTAGACTCTATTCTGAAGTTGAAGATGTTTCTCTTTCCATCTGAGAAGCTTTCTCAATTCAAACCTGCAGAGATGAGTTCAAAGTTCAACTGTATGAGAAACTCGTGTAATCTAGATAAACCTGCAGATTAAACTAAAACTACACGGCCCTGAAAATAGAAAGTACGTATGCTCTTAATCTTCATCCCCTCCCTCCTGAGGGTCATTAGGGTCTTTGTCTCCCTCCTGAAGGTCATTAAG